TGGCACTTACCCTTCCGGCGGGGGACTCCAGTTTTCCCTTGTATGGCCGTGGCCCCACCCCCAGCGTGCCTGGCATAACGTCATAACGTCACTTCCCTGTGCACGCTGGGGCGGGGTTCCCCCCGGGGCCCGATTCCCCGGCGTCGGGGAACGGGCCTCTGGGGCGGGGGAATTCCGCCCCCCGGGGGGATTTGACAGCCCTAATCAGAGCTCCGGCAGTAAAGAGCCCAGGGGGGTGGGCACATGCAACAAGCCCCACCCCCTGCTCCCAGCAGCCCTCAGTCAGGCCACGAGGAGCAAGAAGCAGCCAGGTAAGTTGCAGAGCCCCCCCCTGGCCCGCCTTCAGGTGGTCTCCCTTCCAAATACTAACCTGGGCCATCCCTGCTCAGCTTCCAAGATCTGATGAGAGTGGGCTAGCCAGGGCCATCTAGCTACATATACCACCATAATCAGGGGTCGTTTCCTGCGGGAGCGCACAGGAGCGGAGCTCCGGCAATAAAGAGCCCAGGGGGCGGGCACATGCAACAAGCCTCACCCCCTGCTCCCAGCAGCCCTCAGTCAGAGCAAGAAGCAGCCAGGTAAGTTGCACAGCCCCCCCCCCAGCCCCCTGGTCCAAGACAGTCCAGTGGCACCCTTATGACCAGGTTTTATTCAGGTACAAGCTCTCCCTCCTCTGCGAGGACAAATCTGCACATCCCCCCCCCCAATAGCTGGCAATCCAAAACAATCCAGTGGAGCCTGAGTGGTGGGTGTTGCCTCCTGACACACTTCCGGTGATGTCAGGGGGTGTGACATACGCAAATAAGTTATGCTAATGAGTTATGCTAATGAGCCCCTGCACCACTTTTTCTACGAAATGACCCCTGGTCTGTCCCCTTCTGTTGCTCTCTTCCACCAGCAGATGAAGACTCTTTGTGTTTCACCCTTCTTCTGAACCAATGTTTTGTTGTTATTATGTTTTGTATGTATTTTAACTCCATTTTTCAAGGTGTTGAGAGGGGTTGAATGTTAAACTGTTCACCCCTTTGGTGCCCCTTTGGAAAGGCAGGAAGGCGGGATACATATTTTGCAAATAAGTCAATCAATCAAACTTGATGGAAGTTGCTTCAACACTCATTCACTGCGTTCAGAGAAGAGAATGCAGATTATGAATCACAACCAGCTGAACACACGAGCAGATGAAGATGCCTTATACTATCAGTGTTAAGTCTATCAATGGCCACTAGCTGACTGAGGGGAACCTCCACATTCAGAGGCACTAAGCCTCTCAATCCCAGAGCCAGGAGGCAACATCAGGAGAAGACCTTGGCCTCTATGCCCTGTTGCTGGCCCTCCAGAGGAACCGGTTGGCCACTGTGTGAGACAGGATGCTGGACTAGATGGACCATTGGTCTGATCCAGCAGGAATCTTCTAATTTTAATTTTTCTAATTCTATCAAAGTCAGTATTGTCTACTCAGGTCGGCAGCAGCTCTCCAGGGTCCCAGACAGAGGTCTTTCACATCACCTATTGCCAGATCCTTTAACTGAAGATGCCGGGGATAGAACCTGAGACCTTCTGCATGCCAAACAGATACCCTATCACTGAGCCATGGCCCCTCCCCTAAAACAACTTCTGTCACACTTAGTGTATCTATCCATCCTCAAGCCATGGCTTTTCGACAATATAAAAAGCTTGTCATCAAAACTGCTACTTTCTACACCAAACCCGAAACTGGAGCCTATCTGCAGCTTTCATTGATGATCAGAAGAACGCACTGTTTGGCAAAGGGATGGTACTCGGTTTGCTGTTCAAGCGAGAGATAACATGCATGCTGTTTTGGTGGCATCAACATGCCTCCCTCTCCATGGAGGTAGGCGGCCTTCATCTCGGTATGACAACGTGTTTTCAGAGCTTGTATTTATTAAATCTCTCTCTTTATAAGCAAAGCCTGCCAAGAAACGATGTCTGGCAGTTTTACGATGTTTGCGTGTCTACCGAGGAAAGAGGCCATCTGACTCATTCCTGATGGGAGCGTTTCTTCCTCTCCGCCATCTAATCAGATGGATTTCCAGTGTGACTGGGTCAAGGTCGGAGCACTCCGGAGACCCAGAGATGAAAGGCTTTTACAAAAGCATCTATTCGACCAGGAAGTTTATAACTAGAAAGAGAAGTGTCGCCTACAAAGCATGCATGCCCAGACAGACAGACACAAAGACACAACTGCATGGAGAAAAAGACTGCTCATAAAAAGAAGGAAACCTAAGCATTTCCTGTCCAAAGGTAAACAGCATGGATCTGGGATAGGTTCTGGCCTCCTGAGTGAAATTTTAATGTTCTTCACTCCCATCTCCAGGTGGTCACAGATCCTAAAGCTCTTGGATTGTCCATCTCCTCCTTAGCCAAAGTTATTCCACCCCCACCCTGCAATTCCAACAGCTATCTGGATACTCCCTGACTGTGTATATAGTTCACTGCACACACTATATAAATAGGAACTTTTCTCCAATCTCGGTGAAATTTGGCCCTCGTTGACTTGGTTCAGTCACTGAGAGCTTGGCTAAGGCACTGAGCTACTAATCAGAAAGTCCCCAGTTTGAATCTCACCTTGGCTATGATTTGGGCTCTACTGGTAGCAGGAGCTCCTTTGCATATTAGGCCACACCCCCTAGTGTAGCCAATCCTCCAAGAGCTTACAGAGCTCTTCTTACTGGGGCTACTGTAAGCTCTTGGAGGATTGGCTACACTAGGGGTGTGTGGCCTAATATGCAAAGGAGCTCCTGCTACCAGTAGAGCCCTATGAACTTTGCAAGTTACTCTCTCTCATTCTTTCCATCTACAGCAGAGGTCATTTTGGGGGGGAACGTGGGGGAACGCAGTTCCCCCGGGTGAGGTGCAGGGGGGCGGGGCACATGACAAAGCCCCGCCCCCTGCTTCCGGCCGCCCCGCTTCCAGCCCTCATTCAGCCAGAAGGAGGCTGGAGAAGAGAGAGGGTAAGTTGCTTCCTCCCCGCCTCTCCCCACCCCTGCCTGCCTGGGGCCAGGGAGGGCCTTGGCGGGGCTTCCTCGCACTCCCGCTGGCCTTGCAGATCCACCGCCAGGCCCCTGATGTCAGGGGGTGTGGCATATGCTTATGAGTTATGCTAATGAGTTCCCCTAGCTCTTTTTCTACGAAATGACCCCTGACAGTATATGGAGAGTAATATTTATCTATCTTACAGTGCTGTTGTAAGGACTGCAAGAGGAGAACCGCATGAACCCAGGAGGTCTTCCAGATAAACCACCCTGTACAATTAGGTTACCTTTTGAGCTCCATGTACTCCTACCACTACAGTAACACATGACAGGGCCTTTTCAGTGCCAGCACCAAGTCTACAGAATGCCCTCCAAAGGAAAGGTCATATGATTCCTTCACTACTAGTATTAAGGAAGCAGTTAAAGACTTTTCTTGTCCAGCAAGCCTTTGGATTTAAGTTGTGTAGTCTGTAGATGTTGTGCATTTGTACTGAATTGGCCTATTTTTTTTTAACTAATTTTAAAAAATCAGTGTTAACCAAGATAGCTGAAAGCCTAGGTTTTGAGTGGCTTAATGGATGAAATAAAATGAGCATTTTGCACTAGATAGTATTTTTAATTATGATGATGATTTTAAAAAAAATCCCTTTGTTGAAGACAGAAAGGGTTTTCAGAGAGGCACGTTGTGAACATGGTAAAATAAAGAAAAGGCTGAAATTTCGTTATCTTACAGATGTTCATGTTAGTCCAGAAACAAGAATTGCATTGTTGCAACCAACTTCTGAAACCACTGGCTTTTCTTCAAGTAGAGAGATAATCCTGGTCATCCACGTACTTATGGCTGACATATGCATGTTATTGCTGGTACTTTTGATAAACATGCAAAGGGAAGACCATTGAAGAAGCAGAATGAGAGATAAAGGAAGCAGATGACTTCTACATAAACTTGGGATAATTGTGGATGACAATTAAGGGTCTAAACCTGAAGCCACACAGAAGACATCTGGACAAAAGTGATTCCAGAAACCCTATTTCTGCACGCAGGTCATAAAAGGAATGGCAGAATGCGCTGCAGTGCCTCAAAAGCAACAGATTCTTATAGAGGGTACTCGGCTTCACTTTGAAGGTGAAGCTCATTTTAAGCGACAGAATTTGTATGTTAGGCAGAAAGTTGGAGGAGAATACTGGCAGTGTTCCACCTCTCTCGTTTGGACTCAAAGTTCCACCCTTTCAGTTGATCAAATTGCATTTGTTACCATTTTAGCCACTCACCCCAAGCACAGGTAAAACTACTGCCATGTGACTGGATGCAGCAAACCTTCACAGCCCACCAGGCCAATCACAGTCCTTCAGCTACATACTGAAGCCTGATAGGCAGGGGTCATTTCCTTCAGGAGCGCACAGGACCGGAGCTCCGGCAGCAAAGAGCCCAGGGGGCGGGCACATGCAACAAGCCCCACCCCCTGCTCCCAGAAGCCCTCAGTCAGAGCAAGAAGCAGCCAGGTAACTTGCAGAGCCCCCCCCCCCAGGTCCAAAACGGTCCAGTGGCACCTTTAAGACCAAGTTTTATTCAGGTAGAAGCTCTCCCTCCTCTGCGAGGACAGATCTGCATGTTCCCCCCCCCTCCAATAGCTAGCAATCCAAAACAGTCCAGTGGAGCCTGAGCGGTGGGTGTTGCCTTCTGACACACGTCCGATGATGTCAGGGGGTGTGACATATGCAAATAAGTTATGTTAATGAGCTCCTGTACCTCTTTCTCTACGAAATGACCCCTGCTGATAGGTGATTGAAAACCATGCCTACCTTGGATTTCTGCTGGCCCAACATGACAGCAAAAAACCTACGAGCCCTCCCCAAAGACTGGAGGGCCCACATTTGACTTTGTGGCTCAAAACAGGAAAAACAAATTTTAGCCATTACATAGCTCACGTGCAAGTGCAACTGGCGTTTTAGACTGCAGCGATCTGCTGCCCTAGACCTTGTTGTATTTTTCTTAAATGGCCTTACCTCAAATTTTAGTTGCTTCTTGGCACTTGCACGCGCGTCGGCTTCCTTTTCGATTTTCTTTTCATCACCGCTGCAAGCTCCATCCATCTTCTCTGGAGGCAAAGCCACTAGAAGAGAGGGGGAGGGGGGGGAACACATTCAGAAAAGAGTTCTGGAACAGTCTGCCAACAGTCATGGGACCTATCAGACGCCTCGTTACAGAAACCACATTTTTTTCAGCTATTTCAACTTGAAACTCAATTTTAAACTACTGAGTACGCACACCGAGAAATATGCGGATTAACAGTAACTCCACATGTTGTTCTGCTTGAAGATTTAGCCTATGGAGTCATCATTTTAATGTCCAAAAAGTCAATTTGAATCCCAATCAAAAAAACAATGCCAATATATCAGTGTTTGGTTAAAATGCCATCTAGCTGATAATTCAAGAACCAGCAGAAACGAAGTGGGGAAAAGAATTACAATGGATTAATTAAGCAAAGGGGGGATTTTGTAAAATGTAGCTGTTTAGCCTGTGCTGTTAGGTCAGTGTTGGCCAATCTTAGACCATAATAAGTGAACTGATTGATTGATTTAAAAATGCAGCATTCTAGGTAAGAAAGAACAGCTGTTATCCAATGCAGGTGTAATGTTCTAGATTTCTTAACTATTGTTAGGAGGCCAGCAGCACCCTGTGGAGTATTTCTCCTACCTTCTGTACTCAAATTAGTCTCCTCCTTCCATTTCCATGATCTAGCAATGCATGCTAAAATTAACCAGGTTTTGGTTAAGCAGCATACAGCTTGTAACCATGGTTTCCAGCCAGCTGATGTTATCATCAGCACTGATGCAACAGTGCACCATGGTTAACGCTGAAAATAGAGAGGAGGAAGCTGACCACAAGAGGGGAAGATGGAGATCAAAGGCCACCCAAAATCCATGGAATCCTCCCAACTTTATAACTATTCTTTCAGGAGGTCAGGATCCACGGCCTTAGATCCACAAATCCCTTACCCCTGTATCCTACTGGACAATTTTCAAACTATCTTTTAAAAGAAAAGCATAAGAACATAAGCAGAGCCCTGCCGGACCAGACCAGTGGTCCATCTAGAACAGCATCCTGTCTCACACAGTGGCCAAGCAGTTCTTTTGGAGGGCCAACAACAGGGCATAGAATTCAAGGCCTACATAAGAACATAAGAAGAATCCTGCTGGATCAGACCAGTGGTCCATCTAGTCTAGCATCCTGTCTCACAACAGGGCATAGAAGCCAGGGCCTTCACAAGAACATAAAAAGAAACCTGCTGGATCAGACCAGTGGTCCATCTTGTCCAGTATCTTGTCTCACACAGTGACCTACCAGTTCCTCTGGACAGCCAACAACATAAGCAGAGCCCTGCCGGACCAGACCAGTGGTCCATCTAGAACAGCATCCTGTCTCACACAGTGGTCAAGCAGTTCTTTTGGAGGGCCAGCAACAGGGCATAGAATTCAAGGCCTTTATAAGAACATAAAAAGAACCCTGCTGGTTCAGACCAGTAGTCCATCTTGTCCATTATCTTGCCTTACACAGTGGCCAACCAGTTCCTCTGGATGGCCAATGACAGGGCATAGAAGCCAAGGCCTTTATAAGAACATAAGAAGAACCCTGCTGGATCAGACTAGTGGTCCATCTTGTCCATTATCTTGTCTTACACAGTGGCCAATCATTTCCTCTGGACAGCCAATGACAAGGCATTGAAGCCGAGCCCTTCATAAGAATATAAGAAGAACTCTGCTGGATCAGACCAGTGGTCGATCTAGTCTAGTATCCTCTTTTACACAATGGCCAACCAGTTCTTCTGGACAGCCAACAACAGAGCATAGAAGACGAGGCCTTCCCTTGATGTTGCCGCCTGACACTGGGATTCAGAGGTTTTCTGCCTCTGAATATGGAGGCTCCCTTCAGTCACCATGGCAAGTAGCCACTGATAGACCTATCATTCATGAATTTGTCTAATGCCCTTTAAAAGCCGTCTATGCTTGTGGCCAGCACTCTACATCCTCTGGTGGCAAATCCCACATTTTAATCACTTGTTGAGTAAAGAAGTAATTTTTTTCTGTCCATTCCAAATCTACTTCCCATCAACTCCATTAAGTGAACTCGAGTTCTAGTAGATTCAGGTGGAATCTGAAGAAGTGTGCATGCACATGAGAGCTTATAAAGTAAAGGTAAAGGTCTCCCTTGCTCGAAAGCCAGTCATATCCGACTCTAGGGTTGCGGTGCTCGTCTCCGTTTCCAAGCCGAAGAGCCAGCGCTGTCCGAAGACGTTTCTGTGGTCATGTGGCCGGCATGACTAAACACCAAGGCGCACGGAACGCTGTTACCTTCCCACCGAAGTGGTACCTATTTATCTACTTGCAATTTCTTGCTTTCGAACTGCTAGGTTGGCAGGAGCTGGAACTAGAGATGGGAGCCCACTCCAGCTTATACCCAGAATTAAACTTTGTTGGTCTTAAAGATGCCACTGGACTCAAACTTTGCTTGAGTTCTAGTACTATAGGAGAGAGAGGTATAGTTTTCTTTATCCACTCTCTCTGCCCCGTGTACAAATAGACTGACGTCAACCTTTTGCTCTTCCACCAATCTCAAATGAAGGATTCGCTATCTGAACAAAGAGTGGGCTATCAAGTAACAGACCAAATGGAGAACAAGCGCTTTTGGTTTTAAAACACTGCAAGTTAATCTTTCCACATATTCAGAGAGATAAATTATACATTAAAGCAAAGTTTTCTAACAGGTAAAAGCGGCGCAGTGACAATTTCGACCCTCATATGTTAAGTGTTAAGACTATATGGCGGGGAAGGGGGGGGACTTGCTGCATAAATGCCTTGGAAATACTTTAATATTTTATATAGGCAACGATTTTCTGTTCCTTTCACCTAAGATCTGGTTGCTAGGAGAATATTCCCTTTAAAATTCTGTCCTTTAGCAATGACATAATTTCTACCGGGGGGGGGGGGCTTTACAAAAAAAGGGCACACCCTTTT